GGCTGCGGGCCGTGCACATGAAGGAGTATCCGGATTACAAATACCGGCCCCGAAGGAAGACCAAGACCTTGTTGAAGAAGGACAAATACTCGCTGCCCGGCAATCTGCTGGCCCCCGGGGGGGGCAACGCGGTGAGCAGCCCCGTCGGGGTGGGGCAGAGGATTGCCACTTATGCCCACATGAACGGCTGGACCAACGGGGCTTACTCACTGATGCAAGACCAGCTGGGCTACAGCCAGCACCCGGGCATGAACAGCCCCCAGCTGCAGCAGATGCACCGCTACGACATGACGGGCCTGCAGTACAGCCCCATGATGTCCACGGCCCAGACCTACATGAACGCCGCATCCACCTACAGTATGTCCCCCGCCGCCTATGGCCAGCAGCCTTCCACGGCCATGAGCCTGGGCTCCATGGGCTCGGTGGTGAAATCCGAGCCCAGCTCGCCGCCTCCAGCCATCACTTCCCACTCGCAGAGGGCCTGCCTGGGAGACCTGCGGGATATGATCAGCATGTACCTGCCCCCGGGGGGGGATGCCACAGACCCTTCCGCCCTGCAGGGCAGCAGGTTACACAGTGTCCACCAGCACTACCAGAGTGCCGGGACTGGCGTGAATGGTACCGTACCACTAACTCACATATAAACTTGGCTGCTCCGGACGGCTCCCCGTCTTAATCCCTAACCCCACCACCGTTCCCTGACTACATTGGGACGTGTACGGCAGTGTTGCTCGGCTTAGCAGACTTAATACTAACTTTGGAGAAATTTAAAATGGAAATCCGTTAGTTGTGTCCTTTTTTTTTTTTGTACAAAAAAAAAAAGTATTTGAGCAAGCTTATTTTAGTAGATCACAACTCCTGCCTGTTAGAAGTCGCCGTGAAGTTTTTAAACCACGGCAACTTCTTTCCTGGTTTCTGCTAGGTTGGGCACTCTTTTATTCGCTTAAAAGTTTTTAAAAGATCTTGCATCTTCCAGTTTGATTTCGAGCGTTGCAATGACATTTAAAAAAAAAAAAAAAAAGGCGGGCTTTTGATTTTAAACTCGGTTGTTCACATTATCGTTGTGGTTTCTTAAGCGTTTTGTTCTTCCCACCTCGCTTGGTTTCTGTCCACAATCAGTAGCTTTCACGAGTTTTTAACTTTAGGGTTTTGTTCCTTAAAAAAAGGGGGAGGTGGGAGAGAGCTGTGCGGGTCGCAAACGCATTTCTTTTATTTATAGTAAGTTGTGTGTCTTGGTTTTTTCTTAAGCTGTAAACTTATGTAAATTGGTTTGTGAATTTTACTGTGAACTATGTTTTTGACATATCAGATGAAGAAACGTTTTAGTTTTGTTTACCGGATTTCTGCCCTCCCCCCTAAAAAAAGTCGTCATCGAAACACTCCTTTCCCTCTTCCTATCCCTAGTCCTCGTTTGCTTCCTTCTTCCAAACGAAGAGACATCAATAAATTTTATATCAGGCACGTCGGCAGCCTCCGCCGGGTTTGGGTGGGAGCCG